AGGTTGTTATAAAGATTTGTCGTGTAAAGCACTTAGCAAAGTCTCTGGCTTTGTGGAGTAAAGGCTTCATACATTTTAGATGTAATTATATTATTATAAGCATTTTAGTTTTCTGCTAATCTATCTGTGTCCTCTCCTAAACTTGCAGCTCTCTGAGGGCAAGGACTTTGCTACTCATCCTTATGCCCTCTGTGCCTAGTACAGTGCCAGGCACAAAGGAGATGTTCATTAAATAGTTGCTTAATTTTCTTCTAGTTGATGCTTGCTGAAACTGTTACCTAAATATTAGCTAGGGTGATGGTTGATGAGGACTTAGGATGTGATCTGTCATAATAACGTTACCTCTTTCTAGAAGATTCTGGAAGAGAAAGCCCTTTGAAGGGAAGGATGTGATACAGAGGGACAAGCCCTTTTTGTGACCTTTCTGTCTTCCAGCATTTCACCGGATATGAGACTGCTTGGGCTAGGCTTGGCACAGAGCCTATTTTACAGGCCTCATAAAATCAAATCCTGTTAGAGGCTTTGGGCATCATCCCTTATTTTACAGATGAGGAAACTGAGGCCTGACAGAAGATCAGAATTCATGATCCCTGACCCCAGACCAGCGCTCTTCACTCCATACATCCATTGACCACATTCAGAATGTGTGGGAATTTCCGAGGTTAGCCTTTTCTAGCCAAAGCCCATTGCTGTTGACTCGATTCTGACCCACAGTGTTCCTATGGGGCAGAGTAGAACTGCTCCAAGGGGTTTCTAAGGCTGTCAGTCTCTATGGAAGCAGATTGCCACATCTTTCTTCTGCGGAGCGACTGGTGGGTTCCAACTGTAGACCTTTCTGATTAGCAACTGAGTGCTTTAACCACTGCACCACCAGGGCTCCCTTTTCTAGTAAAACGGGAAAAATAAAAAATAAACTATTACTGCTAGAAGTCTAGTCTTATTAAACTACCTTTCTAAATCACAATCTAACAAGAATGCTTCAAGCTAAATAAAGGAAGCTTGAAATACTCCTTTTCACTGGAGAATATAATTTTGCTTCAGCCACAATTTAAATTGATTTAGTTCTGAGCACCAGCTCTTGAAGTGTGGAGCCTATTCTATTTTCACCATGATACTTGTTTTGACAGTGATGCATTTCAGTTGACATAGTTGAAATCCTTATGTAATAAATCTCTGCCTGAAAATTAATCATGTTTATAATATTCTGAGAATTAATAACACCCATTGCTCAAATCATTAACTTAAAAAAGGAGCTTCCAAAATCTGTTCTCGGCAGTAAGGGACCACAAATAAATGAATGTTTGATAAAATAATCCAAGCCGCAGTTTAACAAGCGTAAACTTGAATGTGGCTGCAATAACACAGAACTATTGTTTAAGGGTTGGCAGAGGCTGATGAGGTTCTTATTTCAGTTACGAAGCAGGCATCCACATGCATAATGAACCGCTCTCTGAATTATTAATGTGTTGCTTATTTAGCCTCATCTGTCTAGAAGATAATGTATCCTAACTCTAATGAGTGATTGGTTTTGTACATAATTACAGTAGCAGCAGTTGCAGGGAAATGTGCGCCTTCAAAGAAGGAGTTCTAAAAATAAAGTCATCACATAAACTCTGTTGTTGTTGCATTCTATCAAAATCAAACCCGAAGCATTTGAGAAGTCATAATAAATTACAGGAGACAGAATCATTATTAACATCATAATTTAACACAAAAGGTTTTACTTAATCATTCATTACAGATCATGTGCTGTTAAAATGCTTGTAAATGACTTGGGTTGTTTTAAGATATTTACATAGATAGTCCCTTTGGCCACTTACCAACCTTAGTGTGGAGCACTTTCAGAGAGAGAGGAGGAAAAACTGATAGAAGAGGGTAGATTTATGGCAACCATGAGAGAACTTTAATTAAAAGTTAAAAAGTTATTAGGTGATTCCTTTTCAGTTCTCAAACATGCACCCCTGGGACTGATCAGATCTTGTTTGTAACATCAAGTGGTTGTATGTGGAGGACACTTAGTCAGAAGCCCCTTTCTCTGATCTAAATCAGGCATTTGCCACCTGTTTGTGATATGGCACAGTAACTCTTCTGACAGTCCAGAAAAGTTTTTGCTTTCTCCCTGCATAGCATGTTGTTCAAAGGACAGGCCCAAACTGGAAGCATGTTCTAGGCATTCGTTCTGATTGGGCTCTCATTATCTTTGTGGTTTCATCTGTGCATTTCCTTTTCTTTCTGTCTTCAAAGGGGGCTGTCAACGGACTCATCGTAAACCTGATGCACCACAGTGTGTTCACACTTGTCCACGGACCTTTAGTTTGGTGGCAAATAGTAGGTGTGTGCGTGTGTACATGCTTCTTTTTAAAGATTTCCCTGTCTCATGTACACACACACACACACACACACAGAGTGGCACAATGTTGAGAATATCCATTTATCTTTCTAAAACCAAAAGCCCTTTCAATTTATCCCTACCTCAGAAAACCTTCATAGCTTTTCTTCAGTGATTGCAGACACATTTAAATTACTGAAGAGCATAATGCTTCCCTCTTGTGTGCAGGCAGTTCCTAAATGTGTGTAAGACTCTTGATCACAGGAGAAGTCCCATATGTTGCCTGTAGCTAGGAATGAAACCTATAGGCAAGACTGGGAAAATGGGAGAGTGCTTCCAATTCACAGTATAACTTCTGATTATAGCCTTCTGAAGCAACATACTAATGTGCAGCAAATTGTCTCTGGAAGCCTTGTGCTGAATACTAACTCAGCTTCCAGCTTCCTTTTAGTAATGGCAGGGAGTTAGGTTTGCCACATCAGAAGGGCTCAAGTTTAAAGCTGTCTCTCCCTCCCGGTTTGAATTAGGATCCTAATGGTCCCTATAGTGAAGACAGAGGGGGTTAGAACTGAGATTTCTCAGCAAAGTCCTGGGACTTAATTAACAGAGGTCTAGTCTTCTCCTAGGAGCCCAGATGCCAGAGTGGTTAAACACTTGTCTGCTAACCGAGTGGCTGGCAGTTCGAACTAACCCAGTGGCTCCATGGGAGAAAGATCTGGCTATCTGCATCTGTAAAGACTGCAGCCAAGAAGACTCTGTGGGGCAGTTCTACTGTTACATGGGGTCACTGTGAGTCAGAATGAACCTAACAGCACACAGCAATTACAACAATTATCCTCTCTAGTCCAACTCTGCTTATTTTCTTAATAAGCAAAGCCTTTGCCGGTGCCTCACAGGACAACTGGATTGAGGAGGAGAAGGAAATGGTGGCCTAAGGCCCCAAAGACATCTGGCACTCTCTCCAGGCTACCCTTCTGAGTATACACTGAGTCACTGCCAAGGTGGTGACTGTGGGGACCCAGGGTAGAGTCAAATAAGGGTTCTTGAAATCCAAAAGTGTATCCTGGACCCGAAGAGGCTCAGCAGAGAGGCAGGAGTTACTTCTCTGAAAAGGTATCTCTGGGGTGTCAGTGTGGAGATCCTATTAATCACCAGGTTTTTCTTTTATTTGTTTGATGTATTTGAATTTCATGTAGAGTTTGATTTTCCAGCAGGGTATAAAACTCACTGTTGTAGGAGAAGGTAGAAGAAATAGTCGGCAACCGTGATGAGAGAATCTCAGTACACTATTACATGCTGTTTACGTGAAAGGGCACTTTGTCCCCTTAATCTTCGTTCTCCTTCCCCATGACCAACTGAACCTGCTGGATGGAGCACCCATGACCCCATGGAGAATGACCCTTTGTTACCCAGATCAAGAGCACTGAGGTTGGTAAATCTCAACCAGCCTCAGGAGTGCTGGACCTGCTGTTGCAGCCACTCTGGCCATGGGGCTAGTAGTGACATGGAGATTGGAGTGATGGGAAGAGGTAGATCGTGAGGGGCCTCATCAGCCAAGCTGGGAAGTTGAGATTTTCTTGAAGATGACAGGAGTCATTCAAAATTATAAACAAGGAGACAAAATGCTCGAATTTGCTTTTCACCTTGACTATACTGACTGCTAACCAGAAGGCTGGCGGTTCAAACCCACCAGCCATTCCTCAGAAGGAAGATTGGGCAATCTACTTCCATAGTGATACTGCCTCAGAAACCCAAGAAGGGATGGCTATGAGTTGGGTCTAACTTGACAGCACATAACAACAACAAACAACATATTGACAGAAAGGAGCTCTGGTGGTACTGTGGTTAAGGCACGGGGCTTCTCACCCAAAGGTGGGCAATTTGAACCCATCAGCAACTCCACTCGAGGAAGATGAGGCAATCTGCTTCTGTAAAAGATTTACAACTTTGGAAACCTTTTGGGGGTCAGTATGAGTCAGAATCAACTCGATGGCAATGGGTATATTGATAGTAGTGTTGGTTGCAGATAGGGGGAGAAACAGGAGGCAAGAAGGGCATCTTCATAAGGTGTTATTCTAATATTCCGTGTGAGAGACGATGAAAGCTGAAACGAAGGCATATCTGTGTGGAGGGAGAGGAGGAGGCAGTTTTGAGGCATTTTTAGCAGCTCGAATGACCTGGGTACTGACTGGATTTTGGGCTAGGGGGTGCCCTTGATTCACCAAGAGGAAGTATAGGGGGAGGTGCCAGTTGGGTAGGAAAGATGAGGAGTGCAGTTTTGGGCAGTTTGATGCTGAGGGCTCTATGTAGAGAAGCTCTGCAGAATACTGGATGTAAGAGTCTGAAGTTGGGAAAAGAGATCTGGACAAGAGAATTATGGGTTTTGTCAGAAATAGCTGGTAACTGAAGCAGTGAGTCTACTTGCCCAGGGAAATAAGTTGAGGAGGGAAACAACAAACAAGTATTGCTTCATCTATTTTGAATGTCCTCTCTCCTCTCCTTTGACCAAGAAATTCGTAAAACCTTCCTGGAACCTATTTTGGAGAACTTCAGTGACTTTCCTGAGGTTATTTCTTCTTTTGATAATCAAAGTGCCTGACATACAGCAAGAGCTCAGTCATGGAGGCTGTGTATTGCAGAGCTCAGTGGACAACCAGGACCTGTTGCTTACCGGCATAGCCAGGACCTTGAAATGGCTCGTTTTCTCTTTCTTTGGAACAGAACGGGGCACTTCGAAGGTGCTCAGACTGCAATCCAGATGGCCATTTGTCAGGTATAAGCTGAGCTGAGTCAGGGCTAGCTGGTCACTATATGACAGGTCCAGGTCTGTTGCCCACACCTGATTAAAACAAGAGCAACAGAAGTGAGGGTGACATCACCAAATAGGAAAGAAAGCCCTAAACTACCCCATTCAGACCAAAGCATGGCAGGCCAAACTAAACCAGTGAACATGTGACTTCACGGAGTTGATATTTTCACTTCTGTTTCTCTGTTGTTCAAGGGAGGACTAGAGCTTCCACAGTGATTCTACTCAGAAGAGTCAAGGTTCTTGTGGGGAGTTACAGAAATGAAACTGCATGGCCTTAATAATCGAATGGAGAAGCCCCCTCATGAAAGGCTGGGTTGACTTTGATTTTTCTGCCTGGGCTTTGCCATTTCTAAGGTGGTCAGTGCAATGTTTTCTGCTGAGAAAATGACAGCACTGGACTGGAACTTCAGAGGGTGGGGAATAAGGGAGACAGAAAGAGGGGGAGATGTGTCTGATGGGAAGAGTGAGTAAATACAGAAGAGTGGTTTGCCCTGAGTTTGGAAGAACCAGCGATGGCCTATGGGAATCAGTATGATGCTCGAGGGATGCTCCTGGTCGGCCTGTAAGTCTTAGCTCTACCAGCATTTTACCGTGAGAGAGCAGGAAAGTTACTTCATCACCACGGTGTCAAGTGTGGAATGGTGATAACACCTACCCTAGCTGTACCCAGGGTGATCAGGAGAACATAATGATGAAATAAAAATGAAAATATGTTGAAAACTATATGAATGTAGGCTACTAGATAACTGAGTAATCTCCATTAATTCCTTTCATAAATAGTTACTGAGCATCTACTCTGTGCTGGGCTGGTGATAGTAAAAGTGAGTCATGTGTGACCTCGCCACCCTCCTGTGGCAGACATTCTTATTTGTTCTTGGCATTTTACCCCCACTAAATTCAAAAGCAGCCCCAGGATCCTCAGTTCAATGCTTAAGGCATATCCTTGTTCTAGGTACTAGAGAACGAAAAGTAAATACGCTTCTTGCCATGGAGAAGGCAAAGGCAGATATATATGCATTCATTTAATTACAACACAATGTAATATGTGACATAATACAAGGATGGAACCAAGTACTACTGAAGTAAAAGAAAGAACAAACTAGGTTTGTCTAGTGAAGGCACGACTGCATCTTAGAGGAGGCAGCATTTGAATTCCTACTTATCAAATGTGCCAGGTACTTCAGAAGCAACACTTCAGATCTTTATAATAACCCAGAAAGTATTATCCCCATGTCACAGATGAAGAAACCCAAGTCCACACAGCTAGGAAGTGGTGGTGTTGGGATTTGAATCCAGTGCTGCCGAGCACCAAGTCCACCCTCTTCCCATTCCCTGCTGGAGGAGATGGCACTAATCCTGGCCCAGGCAATCCTCATCCTGCACCAATTTCTCAGTCAAATTAAAAGCTAAAGTTGCGGAGAATCAAAACATGTCCTTGTTTAATATAATCCACGCCTTGGAAATGTCTTGTGGAGAAAATATGAAGTATTGTATTTCTGGAGTATGCTGTAATTAGCAGTAATGCATTTTCACTGTAGGAAGTTGGAAACTAACACATTTTCATGAAGGCTTGATTAAACATTTTTTTCCTCATAGAAGGCCTCCGTGTGCCCCACACACCAAGTTGGTATGGTAAGATACACAGTGCGTCTGCCCTAGAGTGGACTCCTCTCAGACCCATCTAGCAGTGAGTGACTTGAGTAAGCACTGAATGTAAATGCCATCATTATAAGGATATTAAGAGGTCAAGCTGTCAAGGCCTCTTGCTAAACTGAAGCTAATTTCAGGAGTCATATTCGCACAGTAATGCCCTTTTACAATAGCAAATAAATCACATTTGCAACAATTGTTAAAAACTAACTGCCAAGTATCTGCTGCAGTAGAAAATATCCTATTTGTCAACTTAAATGTTTCCTGCTGTATGGTAGTATAAAATGCAAGTCAGATGGGGATGGCTACTTTTCTTTAATATGAGAGAATAAACTTGCTGGTCTTACACTTTTTTTTTTCCCCCAGAGCTTCTATTTTGACATTTTAACATCCTTGATCAAAAGGAAATGTATATAACGAGCATCATTAATATTGATGTTCCTAATATTAATGTTTTGGTGATAAGGATTTCAATAGGTAGGCAGCATGGTGTAGGGGAAAGAGTGAGAACCAGGGCGTTAGAAAAACCCTAAATCTGAAAGTAATCCCTCGCAGACAACCAGACACTATGGGAGAGAGATCCAATAGATCTACTACCTCAGGACCATAGTACGGGGGGACACCAAACTCAATTGGCACAACAAAATACATAAAAGTATTGCTCCACATCCTACATTGGTAAGTAGCGACTGGGGTCTTAAAAGCTTTCAAGCGGCCATCCAAGATGCAGCTAACGGTCTCCTAGCATTGGAAGTGAAGAACGCAAAAAAAAAACAAAACAACAACAACAAAAAAACACCAAGGGCATTTAGAAGCAATCAGCCCTAGAACACAATGGCCCTTGAGACCAGAAGAAGAACTAGATGGTGCCCGGCTACCAATGCCAACCACTCAGGAAAGGATCAAATCTGGAGATTCTGGATAGAGTGAGAGGGAAAACATGGAACAAAATCCAAAAACTCAATAATGACCAAAATTACTGGTCAGATGAAATCTGGTGAGACCCCCCAATACTATGGCCCTGGAATACATTCTGCACCTGGAATAAAACTTACCCCCAGGGGCTGGCTCTCAGCCCAACAGTTAACAAGATGTACATACAGACCACTCAACCCAGGATGATGCACCCATATACCCTATGGTAAAACATCCCTTAGAACAATAGACCATGGGACATCAGAGGACCAACATTCAAACTGAGGAAATGCAGGACAAAGAGGAGTACACAAATATGAGGGGCACAGGGGGAGGGTTATAGGGCAGGGAGGGGAGGAGACTGGGTTAGGGTTGGACATGGTGAATGGGGAATGAAACTAAATGTACGCGTTACACTGAATGCAAAACAAGCTCTTAAAATTAAAAACAAACAAAACTTTCACCCAAATCACAATAAAAAATTAAAAAAAAAAAAAAAAAAACCAACTCTAAATCTGGCCCTTACAAGCAGTGTAACTGATTTATTTAATCATGAGAGTTATTAATAACTGAGAGTTATTTAAGCTCCTTCAGTCTGTTTCTTTAAGCATAAAAGGAACAAATGGCAATACCTACTGCACAGGGTTTTGAAAGTAAAATAAAATACATGCATATAAAAATGCCTTATAAAGTTCAGTACAAATGTTACTTATCGTATAGTCAGTAACTGTAACCCCCCAAAATGGTTCCCAGACTCCATCTTGTTTGGCCAAGCCTGTAAAAATTGCAAGTCACTCCCCTGCCTTCCCTTGTCACGTATTAACCACCTCCCCAGTAACGTATTAACCCACTCTTAGAATACTTTCAAGCCATTAAGCTTGCTAACGGCAGCCTCCTATCAGCACACCCACAGGTGGTGGTCACAAGGTGTTGTCCAGGGCCCCCTCTTGAGTAGGACCGGGTGTCATCCAGTCTGAGACCAGTTACACAGCCCCCATCCCCAATTCCTTAAACTCAAGTATAAGTATCCCTGGAAGGTGGGAGGGGTTAGCGATCATCTTGGATCAGTTCCAGCCACTGCCCTGGACGCTGAACTGCCAGCAATACTTTGTAAGCCTGCTTTCATTGTCTCTATATTCCTTTCTCCCTGTTTTTGTGTTTCTTCTGAATAAACGTTCATGTCTCTGACTACACCTCTTTGGACTCTCGCTACCTACTCAGGAGGAAGTTTTAACCTTCTCGGAAAACGCCCATAACACTTAGGATTACTGAACATTTCCTTTAAAAAGAGTAGAATCAGAGGAGGTACAGTTTCAGTGGTCTACGTAGCCATTAACGGGCCATTGGTGGTTCAGTGGTAGACTCCTCCCCATCCATGCAGGAGAACCAGGTCAGATTCACGACCAGTGTACCTCAGCCACAGTCATCATCAGTCGGACTGGAGGCTTGTATGTTGCTATCATTCTAAACAACATGCAAGTTTCAGTGGCGCTTTCTCATTAAGATGGACTAGGAAGAAAAGCCTGGTGACCAACCAATGAAAAGCCCATGGGTCACAGGTGGTCTGAAATGCAACCAATCGGCCCAGGACCAGGCAGCACTTCATTCATTGTGCACGGGATCGCATGAGTGGGCAGCTGACTCAAAGGCATCTAACAGCAACAGCACTATAGCAGGTAGAGTGTCCCATTTAATCACTGTTCTCTCCATATGTCATTATTTATGTTCGGCTTCCCAACAACTCAGTCAATAGGTGCTTAGATTACGGTCAGGTTACACCTCCATTTTACCAATGAAGACAAAAAACAAACCTGTTGCCATGAACTCATAAGGATCCTATGGGACAGAGCAGCACTGCTGCATAGGGTTTCCAAGGCTGTAATCTTTATGGAAGCAGACTGCCACATCTTTCTCCCACAGAGGAGCTGGTGGGTTAGAAACACAGACCTTTCAAAGCTGAGCACTTAACCACTGCGCCACCAGGGCTCCTTCCCGATGAGAATACTGAGGGTCAAAGAGAGGCCTCGCAGTTTGCCAAAGATCACACAGCACACGGCCAGAACTCTGGCCTTTCTGGAGCAGAAGTGCTTTGCTTCCCAGGCTGTTCCTACCCTTTGGTTCACAAAGGAAATAGGAGAGCAAATTTCCTTAAGCCTTTTCCTCAACAGCAGGCCTTCCTGAATGGCTCAGATAATTGTTTGTTCTCCATCTGGTTTTTCCATTGAAGATAGCTCCTCAGGCAGGCTTGGATTGTGTGTCGGGGTTCCTATCTTCCCTCCAGACTGTTAGCCCTTTAAGGGAAGCTGCTGAGTCTTTGTCTCCCCACAGCACAGGATCGGCAAGCAACAGGACACAACAGCCATTTCTAGCACCTCCAGTGCTGCCCTGTGAACGCCTAGCAATCTTTCGGGAACAGGGGCTTGCTGGGCCTCTTGCAGCTGATTTCAGACAAAAAAAAAAAAAAA